AAGTGGTTTCATTTTTCACCAATGAGGATGATGTTGGCTGTGGGTTTGTCGTATATGGCCTTTATTATGTTGAGGAAAGTTCCCTCTAAGCCTACTTGCTGGAGGGATTTTATCATAAATGGGTGTTGAATTTAGTCAAAAGCTTTCTCTGCATCTATTGAGGTGATCATATGGTTCTTCTCCTTCAATTTGTTAATATGGTGTATCATGTTGATTGATTTGCATATATTGAAGAATCCTTGCATTCCTGGGATAAACCCCACTTGTTCATGGTGTATGGTCCTTTTAATGTGATGTTGGATTCTGTTTGCTAGTATTTTGTTGAGAATTTTCGCATCTATGTTCATCAGTGACATTGGCCTGTAGTTTTATTTTTTTGTGACATCTTTGTCTGGTTTTGGTATCAGAGTAATGGTGGCCTCGTAGAATGAGTCTGGGAGTGTTTCTCCCTCTGCTCTATTTTGGAAGAGTTTGACAAGGATAGCTGTTAGCTCTTCTCTAAATGTTTGATAGAATTTGCCTGTGAAGGCATCTGGTCCCGGGCTTTTGTTTGTTGGGCGATTTTTAATTACAGTCTCAATTTCAGTGCTTGTGAGTGGTCTGTTCATATTTTCTATTTCTTCCTGGTTCAGCCTTGGAAGGTTGTGCCTTTCTAAGAATTTGTCCATTTCTTCCAGGTTGTCCATTTTATTGGCATATAGTTGCTTGCAGTAATCTCTCATGATCCTTTGTATTTCTGCAGTGTCAGTTGTTACTTCTCCTTTTTCATTTCTAATTCTATTGATTTGAGTCTTCTCCCTTTTTTCTTGGTAAGTCTGGCTAATGGTTTATCAATTTTTTTTATCTTCTCAAGGAACCAGCTTTTAGTTTTATTGATCTTCGCTATCATTTCCTTCATTTCTTTTTCATTTATTTCTGATCTGATCTTTATGATTTCTTTCCTTCTGCTAACTTTGGGGTATTTTTGTTCTTCTTTCTCTAATTGCTTTAGGTGTAAGGTTAGGTTGTTTATTTGAGATGTTTCTTGTTTCTTAAGGTAGGATTATATTGCTATAAACTTCCCTCTTAGAACTCCTTTTGCTGCATCCCATAGGTTTTGGGTCATAGTGTTTTCATTGTCATTTGTTTCTAGGTATTGTTTGATTTCCTCTTTGATTTCTTCAGTGATCTCTTGGTTATTAAGTAGTGTGTTGTTTAGCCTCCATGTGTTTGTATTTCATACAGATTTTTTCCTGTTATTGATATCTAGATTCATAGCATTGTGGTCGGAAAAGATACTTGATACAATTTCAATTTTCTTAAATTTACCAAAGCTTGATTTGTGACCCAAGATATGATCTATCCTGGAGAATGTTCCATGAGCACTTGAGAATGTGTATTCTGTTGTTTTTGGATGGAATGTTCTATAAATATCAATTAAGTCCATCTTGTTAAATGTATCATTTAAAGCTTGTGTTTATTTATTTTCATTTTGGATGATCTGTCCATTGGTGAAAGTGGTGTGTTAAAGTCCCGTACTATAATTGTGTCACTGTCAATTTCCCCTTTTATGGCTGTTAGTTTTTGCCTTATGTGCTGAGGTGCTCCTATGTTGGGTGCGTAAATATTTACAATTGTTATATCTTCTTCTTGGATTGATCCCTTGATCATTATGTAGTGTCCTTTTTTATCTCTTGTAATAGTCTTTGTTTTAAAGTCTATTTTGTCTGATATGAGAATTGCTACTCCAGCTTTCTTTTGATTTCCGTTTGCATGGAATATCTTTTTCCATCCCCTCACTTTCAGTCTGTATGTGTCCCTAGGTCTGAAGTGGTTCTCTTGTAGATAGCATATACACAGGTCTTGTTTTTGTGTCCATTCAGCCAATCTATGTCTTTTGGTGGGAGCATTTAATCCATTTACATTTAAGGTAATTATCGATATGTATGTTCCTATTACCATTTTCTTAATTGTTTGGGGTTTATTTTTGTAGGTCTTTTCCTCCGCTTGTGTTTCCTGTCTAGAGAAGTTCCTTTAGCATTTGTTGTAAAGCTGGTTTGGTGGTGCTGAATTCTCTTAGCTTTTGCTTGTCTGTAAAGGTTTTAATTTCTCCGTCAAATCTGAATGGGATCCTTGCTGGGTAGAGTAATCTTGGTTGTAGGTTTTTCTCCTTCATCACTCTAAATATGTCCTGCCGCTCCCTTCTGGCCTGCAGAGTTTCTGCTGAAAGATCAGCTGTTAACCTCATGGGGATTCCCTTATGCGTTATTTGTTGTCTTTCCCTTGCTGCTTTTAATATTTGTTCTTCTTATTTAATTTTTGATAGTTTGATTACTATGTGTCTTGGCGTGTTTTTCCTTGGACTTATCCTCTATAGGACTGTCTGTGCCTCCTGGACTTGATTAACTATTTCCTTTCCCATATTAGGGAAGTTTTCTACTATAATCTCTTCAAATATTTTCTCAGTCCCTTTCTTTTTCTCTTCTTCTTCTGGGACCCCTATAATTCGAATGTTGATGCGTTTAATGTTGTCCCAGAGGTCTCTGAGACTGTCCTCAGTTCTTTTCATTCTTTTTTCTTTATTCTGCTCTGCAGTAGTTATTTCCTCTATTTTATCTTCCACGTCACTTATCCATTCTTCTGCCTCAGTTATTCTGCTATTGATTCCTTCTAGAGAATTTTAAGTTTCATTTATTGTGTTGTTCATCACTGTTTGTTTGCTCTTTAGTTCTCCTAGGTCCTTGTTAAACATTTCTTGTATTTTTTCCATTCTATTTCCAAGATTTTGGATCATCTTTACTATCATTATTCTGAATTCTTTTTCAGGTAGAGTGCCTATTACCTCTTCATTTGTTAGGTCTGGTGGGTGTTTGCCTTGCTCCTTCATCTGTTTCTCTGTTTTCTCGTTTTGCTTAACTTACTGTGTTTGGGGTCTCCTTTTTGCAGTCTTGCAGGTTTGTAGTTTCCATTGTTTCTGGTGTCTGTCCCCAGTGGCTAAGTTTGGTTCAGTGGGTTGTGTAGGCTTCCTGGTGGAGGGGACTAGTGCCTGGGTTCTGGTGGATGAGGCTGGATTTTGTCTTTCTGGTGGGTAGGTCCACGTCTGGTGGTGTATTTTGGGGTGTCTGTGGCCTTAGTATGATTTTAGGTAGCCTCTCTGCTAATGGATGGGGTTGTGTTCCTTCCTTGCTAGTTGTTTCACATAGGGTGTCCAGCACTGTAGCTTGCTGGTCGTTGAGTGGAGGTGGGTCTTGGCTTTGAGATGAGGTCTCTGGGAGATTATCGCCATTTGATATTAGTGGAGCTGGGAGGTCTCTTGTGCACCAGTGTCCTGAACTTGGCTCTCCCACCTCAGTGGCACAGCCCTGATGCCTGGCTGGAGCACCAAGAGGCTGTCCTCCACAAAGCTCAAAATAAAAGGGAGAAAAAAAAGAAAGAAAGAAAAAAGAAGATAAAATAAAGTTATTTAAAAAAATTAAGAAAAAAATTTTTTAATTAAAAAAAAAATGGATGGACAGAACCCTAGGACAAATGGTAAAAGCAAAGCTATACAGACAAAATCACACACAGAAGCATACACATACACACTCACAAAAAGAGAAAAAGGGAAAATATATATATATATATCGTTGCTCCCAAAGCCTCCTCAATTTGGGATGATTCGTTGTCTATTCATGTTTTCCACAGATGCAGGGTACATCAAGTTGATTGTGGAGATTTAATCCACTGCTCCTGAGCTGCTGGGAGAAATTTCCCTTTCTCTTCTTTGTTCGCTCAGCTCCTGGGGTTCAGCTTTGGATTTGGACCCGCCTCTGCAGGTAGGTCACCTGAGGGCATCTGTTCTTTGCTCAGACAGGACGGGTAAAGGAGCAGCTGATTCGGGGGCTCTGGCTCAGTCAGGCCGGGGGGTGGGGGTGGGAGGGAGGGTTTCGGATGTGGGGCGAGCCTGCAGTGGCAGAGGCCAGCGTGACATTGCACCAGCCTGAGGCGCGCCGTGTGTCCTCCCGGGGAAGTTGTCCCTGGATCACGGGACCCTGGCAGTGGTGGGCTGCGCAGGCTCCTGGGAGGGGAGGTGTGGATAGTGACGTGTGCTTGCACACAGGCTTCTTGGTAGCTACAGCAGCAGCCTTAGCGTCCCATGCCCGTCTCGGGTTTGCACTGATAGCCGTGGCTCACGCCCATCTCTGGAGTTCCTTTAAGTGGCACTCTTAATCCCCACTCCTCGTGCACCAGGAAACAAAAAGGCAAGAAAAAGTCTCATCTCTTCGGCAGGTCCAGACTTTTTCCCAGACTCCCTCCCGGCTAGCTGTGGTGCACTAGCCCCCTTCAGGCTGTGTTCACGCCGCCAGCCCCAGTCCTGTCCCTGGGATCCGACTGAAGCCCAAGCCTCAGCTCCCAGTCCCCGCCCGCCCCGGCGGGGGCGCAGACAAGCCTCTCGGGCTGGTGACTGCTAGCCGGCACCGATCCTCTGTGCGGGAATCTCTCCACTTTGCCCTCTGCACCCCTGTGGCTGTGCTCTCCTCCATGGCTCTGAAGCTCCCCCCTCCACCACCTGTAGTCTCCGCCCATGAAGGGGCTTCCTAGTGTGTGGAAACCTTTCCTCCTTCACAGCTCCCTCCCACTGGTGCAGGTCCTGTCCCTATTCTTTGTCTCTGTTTTCTCTTTTTTCTTTTGCCCTTCCCAGGTACATGGGGAGTTTCTTGCCTTTCAGGAGGTCTGAGGTCTTCCGCCAGCATTTAGTAGGTGTTCTGTAGGAGTTGTTCCACATGTAGATGTATTTCTGATGTATTTGTGGGGAGGAAGGTGATCTCCACGTCTTACTCTTCTGCCATCTTGAAGCTCCTCCCATAAAGTCATTCTTGAGGCAACTTATTGCCAGAAAAAGTTTAGGCTACATAAAATTGCATCTATTATTTGAAACATGACCAATAAGAGAAAATATTCTGAAACACTTTTTTTTTAAATGGGAAGAGTATTCATTTTAATTATGTAAAGATGTTACAGAGCTAGATTAACAAATTTCAGTCAGTATAAAATAGATTTATTGTCAATATTCAGTCATAATACAACCCAGGTAAATGAACCATTACTTTATACAAGGCTCAGATGTTTAAAATCTATCTCAACTTTACACATGTACTATAAAATGATAAATACTTAAAATGACAATGCAAGGGAAAATATTATAAAAAATACAATTGTTGTAGACCTTTGTATGAAAGTTCTTTAAAGTTCTGCCTTAAGGAATAATACCATACTACATATCAGAACCAAAAATAAAGTATTTTCCTTGAGGTTACAATGCTCAATGATATACTGGATGCACTCTAAAATACCATTCCTGACAAGAATCAAAAGAGACAAGGTCATCAATAATGTTGAGAGAAAAAAAAAAGAGAGAGGAGTAATCAATTGTTATATGCTGATTTCTGCTGGAATGGCCTCTTTAAACAATTTATAGCACTGTGGAAGAACTGAAAAAGAAGGGGACCAGTCTCAGCTTTATATAAAGGATTTCCAAATCAGCACAAACTCAGACAATGTTAAAGGGTACTGTTCCCAATGCTCTCCACTCTTCAACCCCTTACATGGACTCCTTATCCTAAGTCTGTGTTTTTTCTCTAATTTCTTCCTAAGGGCTTACCAAACACACTTTCTGTTTTCTATTATCTAACATACAAACCAAAAGGCATTATGCACAACAATAATATCTGTCAGTCAAGTCAGTTCTAAAGACACCAATTTTGGTTTAGATATTAATCATGAGATTTACGCATAACCATCCTTCTTCCACACACACTCCCACCTCCCCTTACATATTGACTCCATCCTAAACTGTGAAGCAATATGAAGCTTTAAGATGTTTTTATTTCCTTCATCAATGATTTGCCTGTTGCCAAGCTGCTTGGTTGGCAGCAATATCAGGAGCTTTTTGGAATGCTTGGTCAGAATAAATAAAAAGGATGTGATCAATGAATTACTGTAACCTATCAAAGTGGGCTTCTACAGGCAGACATGAAGAATTTACCTTTAGACTTCTCTCACTCATTTCAGAAGGGAGAAAAATGTGTCTTAAAAGGGAAAGAAAAAAGGTGAGATAAGGAAATACAGCAAAATATTAATACTGTAGTAATAGGAAAGGGTATGCTTATAGCCAACCTACCTCGTGGAGAAGTTTCTGGCATAAAAATCAAACTTTCTCTCTCTCCCATTACTCTTTGCACAAGATTAACAGTTGATTTACATCAAGAGAGGCAGAAGGCCACTGAACACTTTTCTTCAAAGGTAGGGAATTTCTTTTTGAAATGCACATTAGAGAAAGGAGGAAAAGGTAGGGAAAGCTCACTCAAAGAGGTCCTCAAACATGCGTTGTCCCATTGCTATGTACGCTTCCTTTTCATCTGGTGTCATTTGGGCCACCAGCTCTGGCTTCTGGCTCACTTCGCTGTAGGAGAACGGACGGCCAGCCACCATGACAATGGGGTCATCTGCTACTTCCTCAAATTCATCATCTTCCTCATCCTCTTCCCCACGATGTGCAGCCACAGCTGCCGCACAGGGTGGAGAGTCATCGTCTGACTCACTGGTCTCACTCTCAGAGTCACTGCCATTGGCAGTGGTCACAGGAGCAGCCGCCCCCACTGAGCCTGCTGTGGCAGAGGGGGTCTTCTTCTCATGAATGAGCAGTGCTCGCATGACCTCCTCGTTATCATCTGGCCCCGCACGGCCTTCCTCACGCTCCTGAAACGAGTCTATATCTAAGCCACCTGGAAGGAAAAAAACCAGAAAGTCAATACCCTTAAACATAAAAGGCATTCCTTTATAAGTAACAAAATACATAATATTTTAATATATTATATTTAAATATAGGATAATACTATAAAATAACACAGACTTCACTGGTTCCATTTTTTGAGCTACTGTCCACAAGATATTCAAAATGTTTCTCACAAACTGGAACTTAAGTAGCATAATGGTTAAGTACAGTTGACCCTTGAACAACGTGGGTTTGAACTGTGCAGGTCCACGTATACATGGATTTTTTTTTTTTCCAATAGTAAATACTACAGTACTACTTGATCCATGGTTGGTTGAATCCATGGAGGTGGAGAAACCATGAATTTAAGTTATACTCAGATTAATCCCTGCACTGTTGAAGGGTCAACTGTACGTGGGTTTTAAGAAATATATGGCTTGGATCTGAATCCTGGTTCTTCCACATGTAAGCTGTAACACTTTAGACAAGTTATTTAGTCTCTAAACTTTGGTACCTTTTTCTGTAAGATGGGATAATAAAAGCATTTGTCTTCTAGGGCTCTGGATAAGAAAATGAAATAATGTCTATGAAGGACCAATTTTGTAGCTGGCATAATAGGACATCAAAATATGGCTCATCTTGCTCAGAGTAAAAGCCAAAGGCCTTACAATGGCATATAAAGTCCTATGTCATCTGAACTCCTCCTGCCCACCTACTTATCCCTTCATCATTCTGCTCCTGTCACAGTGACCTCCATGGTATTCCCTGTACACACCACACACACACTCCTACCTCAGGGCCTTTGCACTGACAGTTTCCTTTGCCTGGGATATTTCTCCTCTCGGTATCCATACCCCCTTGCATCTTTCATGTCTTCACTCAGATTTCACCTTCTTTCAATTCATCCCTACCTCTATATTCCCAATGCTCTATTTTCTTCCCCATAGCATTTATTTTCTAACATAATAATTTATGTCTATTGTCTTTGTCACCTACTTTCCACAGCTGTAGGTTCTCCACAACAGATATTTACCTTTTTTATTCAGTGATATATCCCATGCATCCAGAATAGTGCCTATTGCTTGTTAGGCACTGAATAAATATTTGATGAATGAGTAAATAAATGGCAGTTTTATTTTCCTGAAGCAAATTAAGTGTACTTTGAACTGTTTATCTAGGAATCTAGTATCAGAAATGAAACTTCTCCCACCACACACCTCCTATCATTTTGTGTACATATTACAGGTGAAGAATTTAAGAAAAACATTTATATTCTGAAAATAATACAAAATATAATGCCATTTAAATACATAAAAGAATTTAAAATGTTGATTGAAACCTGACTCCTTGATTCAAATCCTGACTCTTAACACTTTTAGCTGTATGATTTTGGCCAAGTTACTTCATCTTTTTCTGCTTCAATTTTCTCAAGTACAAAAAGGGGGAAAAACAGTATCTACCTCACTGGATTATTGTGGGTATTAAGTGAATATTTGTGAAGGCCTGGCACTTAGATTAGTGTTACTTATTATCAAGAGAAGACCCAGAAATGACCAATTCTGGCCATGGATGAAGTGAAAGCATCTTCTCATTAACATATTAGAATGAATTAGTTGTAACCCTGGACATTTTAGAAAGTATAGAACTCCTGAGATAAGATATTGGGCACATAAGAGAGAGAAAGGGAAACAGGAATTGAGAAGTTAAAAGTTTAGATCAGAGAAAACAGGCTTTTGATAACATGGATGTAAAAGTGAGGGTTAAAATCAAACTTAACCATTTTAAAATAGTGTCAAAGGCTGAACCTCCTCCTTAGAGCCCTTGTTACCAATGCAGTATTTCAAAAGGAAAAAAAGACAAGGAATGTATGCAAGTCTCTAAGACTTATACACTTCTAATTTTCCAAATACCTTAATATTACCAACATAGTATTTTGAATAATGCTTAAAGTAAATATAAAATTAGAGGAAAAGCAATTTAGTTTTGTAAATTAAATGAAGTCATATCTGAAAGATTTCTGACAAGTTTCTTGAGAGATTTAGCCAAAAACGGAATTATTCTGTTACAGATGAAGACAGAAATCAAAAAATAAGGATAAATGAACAAATCTCTAGATGGTAAGGTAGAAACACTAGTTCTAGGAGCAGTCTTATTTAATAGAGTTACAAATTACGAAGATGTATCCTGGGAAACTGTCAAGTTCACTGATGATGCTAAGCAATTCTGGGTTCTTAAAGGCCAAACTGATAGCAAAAAAATATAGGAAGAGCTGAAGGTTGTATAAGTGGGCAGAAAAGTGGCAGATCTATTTCAATATTGGCAAGTGTAAGAAAATCTGCCTATAGAAAAATAATCTAAAATGTACTAAAAAACCTTATCCAAGTTATCAAATAAAGGGCAGGAGAGGGTCTGAAAAAAATCTCTGCACATAATTCTAAAGTTATTGGTCTTAATATGCTTCCAGAAGCAAAGCAATAAACTGTCATGTAAAAACTAGAAGGATATTTGAGATAAAACTCAAATAATTAATGATAAATTCATGCATAAATAACATGTATTGCTCTAGTCACTAGGTCTCAAGTAAAGTATATTACAATTGGAGATGGTCCAGAAAAAGATAATTAAAATAAGACAAAAACTGTAGGTGGAGATGGCTTGGGGGAAGAGAATCCTTTGTAAGGAAAGTAGAATCAAAAGGAATTAGAACTTTCAGTAGAGTAATAAGGACATGATTGAAGTCTATAAAATTCTGAAAGATGTTAAAATAACTTGAACTCTGAGGAAAATTAAGTGTAGGACAAATAAGACTCACTTCACACATTCACTGGATAGAGCCTATTCAACTATAATAAAACCTAACGAAGACAAATTTAGACATAAAAGCATATCCTATTTTATACATAGAAGGAAATATTCACAAAAGGGAACAGGGTAGACTAGATGACTTATTTAAAGCCCTTATGATTCAAGTTGTACCATTCTAGGAATTATAAACATTGACTGTTAAATATATGAGCCTAACTGTATACAATATACAAAAAAACTTGCTGTATACAAAAAACTTGCTAACAATAGTTTTATTTCATTCAATTTTGTTCCTAAGTTCACAGAAAAAAAGGCTTGGTTGCTTCAAGAACAGGCAAGAAGCCAAGCTGGGGAAAACGAACCTATTAAATAGTTGACAGCCTAACTACTATGTAATCTAAACCAATATGCACCAAAATAACTAAACCTCATAGCAAAGGTAATCAGTGGGAAGGAGGGAGAGTAAAGTATGATTGCCAAGGAAAACTTTTTTCTGGTTGGAATTAAAACACCAAAGAGAATCACACTAGAGAATCACACATCTGCTTTTACCATGACTACCCAACTCCACACTACTTTTACAATTCTTAGCATACACAGTAAAGAAATGCTAATTATGAAAGGAAAAGAGTTTAGAAAAAAAAGTCAAAAAACAAGTGGTTTTTAATTACTGATGATTCTTTAGTATTAAAGAAACAGACCCAAGTGATATGTTAGTAATGATACATAACCTAGGAATAGGGACGGGTAGGTTCTAATGCTGATGAAATCTAACCAGAGGGACAGACTCCCTCTTTCACCTCTGTTTCCCAGTTTCTGAGCAATACTTATCCAGTTTTAGTCTCCCTAAACCTAGTCCTAAACCATCTACCTAAACCATCATCACCCAAAGTCTCTGAATCCAGTAATTTGAGACTAACATTTAAAAAGTAAAATCGTGCAGTTCTCAAGCTTCTGATTATTATATAATTCTTAACCCTTCAGGGCTCACAGAGATTTCCAAAATCTTCTAGTATAAAGTTTTGCCAATCTTCTTGGATGGTGAGAATCCTTGTCTTTACTCATTTGGTATCTTTTTATATATTTCAAGTAGTGCATCTCCTTGGTATTTATGAGGAGACAACATAACTAGTATATAGTTATGGCTCCTAATTCAAAGAAACAAAAATGCATGCAAGTTAGGGCAACAGAAGATTAAAGAAGAAATGAATTTGGCCACTTTGAACACAAGAGTACTTTTTCAAGAAATTAACATAAAAAAATGCCAATTTCTTAAATCTAAAATGGAAATTTAAAAAGCTGTCTGTTTTTTCAACTAAGTTGAAGTTTAATACAAGTATACTGGTTGGTTTTAATGCTTATTGCTCAATTTACTTCCTGCTATAATGCAATTGTTTTACAAAACAGACACAGTGGGTTTCCAATAAAACTAAGAATTGCCCAGGTGATTTCCTAGGTCAAGTTCATTTTCTACCATACCCAAGACATATTCATCTTACTTCTTCTACTCTTACCTTCCTTCATCTCTTCAGAACTATATGCTCCTTGGACAGTGCTCTCTCTTAACCAAATAGGTCTCTCTTTGGCAGATTTCCCCTCCAGTGAGGCTCGATGAAGATCTTCTTGGTCATCCATGTTAATGACAACATTCTGAGTGTATAAGTCCTCATAAGAGGGACCCTTGGTGGCCCATGCTTCCCGGTGGTGCCCACCTGCCAGGCCAGCAGCTGCAGCAGCAGTTGCTGCACGGTCCTTGCTATATAACAAGATTAGAGGAGGAAGGGAAGAAGAAAACTTGAAGTCTTGGTGCTAGAAAAGAAGGGCAGCTGGGGAAGTAGTTACTGAAGAATTACATATAAATTCTATCTAGCAATCATGCACACATGCTTTCATAATTCTGGAAAATCCGCTCTTATACCACAGGGTGAAAGTTACATTGGTTAGAACAACCCATCATATTTATATTTAAGTTTCTCAAACACTGAATCCTCTGGTGTACATAAATGCATTAGGTGTATATAAATGATTGAGGTTGTACACATTAAGATGTTTAAATAAGTCTACTTAGAGAGAGGGGAGAATGAAATAGTGACATAATCCACTTAAAGACACTAGTCTGGTAAAAATCTCTCCCAGTAACATCTTTGATGAGTATTTTGTTTAAAAACAAAACAAAAACCCCAAACAAAACAAAACACATGTTATATTTTAAAAAGCATGCTCTCAGCTCAACCCAGAAGAATTCAAAGTAGTTCTGTGGGCTTTTCCCTTTCTCTTGTGTGCTGAGAAGCTAGAATAGTATTCTACAAAGCCAGACTTCAACTCAGAATTAATATTCTGCGACTCACCAAATAAGGCAAATCTTTATGCAGAGATCAGCTTCTTTTCAAGTTGTATCTGTCCATCTCTGCACCTATGCTGACTCTCCAAATCCAGGCCCAACCATTATTTCTACCCCACAGCAACCATGATCTGTTTCTGAGTCTATTTTTTTTTGCCTCTTACTTCTACTATCCATGATCTTCTTAGTCTGTTCCAGGTTGGATCATTCCTTATCTTTCTCTAGTCACTTAACGTTTCCTCATCTCTATGAGTTTTCAGCCTTTCTGCTGCTCCCCGTTTTATCTGATCATTTCACTTTCAATGTGCTCCACATTCTTTTGAATATACCTGATTTTCTGTGTGTCTAAGCTCACACCTTGTCTTTCTTTGCCTGCTGCTGATGCTTTTCTGCATCAAGTTCTAGGTATGACTGTCCCTCCCTTTCTGTTTAGACAGCTCTTTTATTGCACAAACTATCTTCATATTTCATGAACTACCTGCTTATTTAGTACCTGTTCTGTATCTTTCTCCATACCTTTTGCTGTGTTCCTTTCTGTGTCTGCTTCTCTTGGCCCTATGTTTCTCCTTTACTCTCTGCCATTTTTCCTAAATCTTTTCCATGAATCCTGGATTGTCTCCTGTGTAGTGGGCTGTCTCATTCTGAGCCTAAGCAATACTTCTTCATTTATCTTTAAGTTCTGTATCAGTTCTCTCTCTCAGAAGCCATTCACTGTTTTTCCTTCTCTTTGGTCCTATTTCATATCTGCTTACTCCATTGCTCCTCATTTCTTCCTGGGCCCACTCACATCTACTTGAGTTTTGTCTCATGTTTAGTTGAGATTTCTCTGACGTATCCATGTATCTGACTGGCCCATTACATCTCTCCCTGAGAATACTGTGTTTCTGACCAACCTCTGGAGGTAATCGTGGGTTCATCCCATCCCTCCCTCCCGTTCTGCCTCTGGATATCTACAGACCCACTGCCACATTTTCTATCAAAAAAATGCACCCTCTCTAGTTGTACAAACCATGCTGATCTGGTCACTTAATCCATGCCTTGTAACTACTGCCTTTAGCTGTACCAGGGCTGCTTTGTAAATCACTCTTTCTTATAGCTTTTTCCTCAGTTATTTGCTGGCCCACTCTGAGTCTAGGCCTACGAGGCCACCTCTCTGTACCCAATCTATCTATTTGTCTTACTATATTTTAAAGTCTTATGTTACAGCTTTTTTCCATCTTAAAACAGGACACAAGGAAGGGATGGTCCAATTTTCTGTGCTTGAACATTTTCATCTAAATGTGATACCTAGAAAGACATGACCACCTTAGGCTAGCTCCCCTGGTGGTGCCAAGAGGAAAACCAACAGGCCAAGTTCGGCAGAGTAAGTATGGAACAAATCTAGATCCTTGAAGATGTAACTGAGCTGTGGAATTAATTCTGAATTGTGCTACCTAAGGACTTCTGGTCATGCTAGAAAGTTTTTCTTACTGTTGAAGCTACTTCTAGTTGGTTTTCTGTTATCACAGATAAAGGTATCCTAACTGACACAGATGCTAGAAAAGAAAATTCACAATAACTTGTACAGATACAAAACCTTCTGTATAACTGGATTGTTTTTAACCACCAAAAAGAAACTCAGTTTGCTCAGGACTGCCCAGAACTGGCTTTTCTGCAGCATCAGTACCAGAGGGCACAAAATACTAAGAGTGCTCCCAAAATCTATACAGTTACAACTTGGACTATTGTGTTCTATGGAAGGGAGTAGACGGGTATAAACTCTAAAAGCCCTCAGCTTGAAACTGGGAAGAAGAAAGAAAAAGCGAAGAATAGGAGAGTACTCCCTGACCTCAATTCTCAGTTATACTTTTCAAAGAAGAAAAACCACTTTTTATGGCATGGCAAAATTAAGGCTGCCTCTGCAATTCAAAAATTAGGGTATACTGACAGAAATAGGGAGCCACAGTAAGAAGTATTAACCCATAGGTAACACCCACTATACTTCGCTTTCAAGAAAGTTGCATTGAAAACTAAGGAAGGCAAGAAATGTGTGGTTAAAAACTTCAAAAACAAACATACAAAAAAAGTGAAAGCTGTATTCCTTAAAGAACTTCAGCCTTCAGAACTTGACTAGGAAAATTCAGATATCCCCAAAAGGCACAACCAATTTAGGACTAACTAACAATTGGATGAGTTGCAGTAGGCCCAAGCAGATTGAGTACTTAAAAGTCAAACCTGACTATTTAAAGATTTTTGCCTAGGGCTCATACTGTTCTGCATTCAGTACAAACAAATTTCATCACAGGCAGAAGTTAATACGACATGTGTGGCAGAGCTTAGAATCCACATAATCTTATAGTTTTTAGTCTCCTGGTAAATTACTTACCCAATCCTGCTCTCCAAAGTACAGGTAGTTAAAACAAGGGCAAGCTTAAAAGTGTTCTTGATAAGAGCACAGGGCCTACACTCACCTCTGTTTCAGGGCTGGTATTTCTGTGGGTTCTGGCTCAAGTATTTCATAGGCCAAGTTCACATCCTCTGTCTCTCGAAGCAAAGCATAAATGGGCTCAATTTGTTCATTAAACCTTGCCAAAAGTGTGCGTGCATCTTTTTTGGGCATTGCTGATTCATCTTCTTCTACCTCTGTATGGCAAAAAGTACAGCGGAAAGTTCCTATAGAGAAAACAAAAGTCTCAGGTCAGGGAAGAGAAATTCTCAAGACTAGCCTTTAGCAAACAGTTTATATCTCCACTCTTCCTCCAACATTTTATTATTAAAACTTCCAAAAACATGGAAAAGATTAAAGAAGTTTACAGTGAACATCCATGTGCCCACCACTGAGATTCTACAATTAACATTTTTCTATATTTGATTTATCACATATCTATCCATCTATCATTTTTTGAAGCATTTCAAAGTAATTTCACCCCTCACTGCAGCACAGCAAACAGATTTTAATCACAACATTTCTAACATACATATACTTACTTTAACTTAAAATAAAATTCTTTACAGCTTACCACTGAAACCTGTATCCTTTTCCAACAGTTTTCTTTTTGCACAGTACACATTTGAGTCTATGTCATGGGGAAAGCCAAATAAATACCTAAAACCAAAAGTCTCTGGTCATTCTGTACATTGTAACAAGGTTATTTCTTCAAATTTATTAACTATTTACATCTAAATAACTTTAACCAATCCATTTCCAAAATTAAAGTTCAAGAAGCCTTTATTGTTATTTCTACAGCCTTCACATTCAACTTATATTGTAGTAATTCCTTAGAAACATCACAGATTGTTCACTTCTACTATTATTTCACTAATCTGGGCTACCATTACTTAGCCTGAAATTTAGCTTCCTAAATCTGGTCTTTGAACCTTTAGGCTCTCCCTCTCCAATTCCAAGTTTCCTAGACCACCATTTGAATCATCTCATCCCCCTGCTCTAAAGTCTATCTGATGGCTGAACTTCTAAAGTCCACAGCATCAAATCTAAATTTCTCATCCTAACATTCAAGAACCTGTATAACTTGATCCAAAAACACCATAACCCTACCACAGTCCTTTACTTGTCAAGTAAATTCAAACACTTGAGAAACAATATACTAGACATTAACATTTATTTTATTTGTATAAGTGCTTTCTTTCTAAAGCACTTCAATTTACACTTTTTGATCCCTATGCCAATCCTGTAAAATGATGTCAGAACTGAGGATCTGAGTTTTGTGATTTGTCCAAAGGCACATAGCCAATAAGAGAAAAGTAATAAAAGCAGCTATTGTATACCGAGTGCTTACTAAGTACCAAGTATCGCCAGTCATCTGAAGACAGTATTATTATTATTGCCCACTTAAATCTGTAAAATACAGAGGTTCTAAGGGGTTGAGTAACTTGCTCAAGATCTTATCATTACTAATTGGGAGGTGGTGGCAGGATTCAAACCCAATCTATTATGATGAAACTCACACTCTTAAATATTACTTAACACCACTAGCCCCACTTGGATCTCCAGTTTGGTCCTTATTCCCAATGCCAGGGATATGCATCCTTCCTTTCTAACCCAATTAACCCAAGAGATTAAAAGAGATCACACAAGCACTTAATGTCTGGCACATAGTAAGTATGCAAACATTTAGTTTTAAATAGCCCAATATATGACTGACACATAACCCCACCCCCAACCCCTCTTCCCCTAGTAAGGAATAAACAAACTAGACATCTCTGCTTCAACATTAACACTAGATTCTACTGATGTATTTCAAACAGAATAAGTTTCTTTACTGCCTCTCACACATAAACAACCAATCACAAGTAAATTCTTTGTTCATATACCCTGTCTAAACACTCTTAATCCATCTTCCTGCTATCCATATACTACCTCATCTTTTACATCTATTTCAAATAAGTGAGAGAGAGAAAAGCAGCCCCTCATAGCTAAGAAGGAACCTAGCACTCATAGCTAGGCTGTGATGCTTTTCTGCCAAATGGAATCTCACAGATCACCAACATCAGATAAAAGGTCCTCTGAGACCATGATGCAAGTGAGGCAAAACCAAGCCAATCTGAATGTCTGAATATAGACAAAAGCAAGATCTCTGCACAACCACACACACACACACACACACACACAAAAAACCCAGCTAACACGAATGATTGCTACTTCTTTACCAATTAGTTTTAGCCTCACCCTGGTCTTCTCACCTCTGGGATAAGATTTATTAAGATATCCAATCATAGAATTACCCTCACTTCTTCTTTTGTTTTGTTTTGTTTTGTTATTTTGTGGCACGCGGGCCTCTCACTGTTGTGGCCTCTCCCGTTGCAGAGCACAGGCTCCGGATGCGCAGGCTCAGCGGCCATGGCTCACAGGCCAAGCCGCTCCACGGCATGTGGGATCTTCCCAGACCGGGGCACGAACCCGTGTCCCCTGCATCGGCAGGCGGACTCTCAACCACTGCGCCACCAGGGAAGCCCTACCCTCACTTCTTGATAGTACCTAATCCACAGCAAATCCCCACCAATTCCCTGAATCCTCCCCAATATTATCTAACAAAAGCCCATATTCTCTAAGTTTGTTCAGCATAGCCTTGCTGAGATACATGGTTTCTTATGGTGTGTGGTTTTCTTGCTGCAGAAAGCATCAACAAACCCAATTTTGTACACTGTGGGCATGATGGTCTTTGACTAATGGGCATCAACATAAATATTCTGGCTTAACTGATCAAGAATACTATTTACCAAAATAAAGAAAGAGGAAGAACAAGTTTGTTTTTCTTTGTGGGAGAAAGATACCTTTCTTGAAGAAAGATAAATAAAGATACCTTGCCTTAGATATCTGAATCTATGTTGCCCACTGGCCATCAAAATGGATATGTCAGAAGCCAACTTATTACAACTGCTTAGAGCTCAAGAGTGGAATTTAAGACTAGAAATTTTGATATGAGAATCAACAACATATAGATAGTAACTGAAGCCATAAAGTAGATCAGAGTATCCAGAGATTAAGGAGTAAGAAGCATGGACAGTCAAGGTATAAACCCAAGGAAAGAAGAATCCTTGAGAGAGAGAAATGGTACAGCCAGAGGGATAGGATGGCGTTTCAAGGAGGAAATGGTATGGCACTAATTTTCAAGGTCAACAAGAATTGAAAGCCAGCCTTTATATTTAGTAACAAAGGGTAAATAGAGACCTTGGCTAGAGAGGTTTTAGTCTGTATGCTATCTTAGGGTATTCTCTAACTATTCCAGCCTGCCTCAGTCTCTTCTCTTCAACAGAAATATAAAGAAAATAATCCACGTGGGAGTTAAAACATACGTCATACAGAGGCATACCTCAAATATATTGCAGGTCCAGATCCAGATCACCACAATAAAGCAAATATCGCAATAAAGTGAGAGCGAGTCAAAAATTTTTGGGTTTTCAGTACATGAAAAAGTTATGTTTACACTATACTGTGGTCTATTAAGTGTGCAATAGTATTAGGTCTAAGAAAATAATGTACATACCTTAATTAGAAAATACTTTATTGCTAAAAAATGCTAACCATCATCTGGGCCTTCAGCAAGTTGTGGTAGTAACGTCAAAGATGTTACTAACCACTAACCACAGATCACCATAACAAAGATAACAAAAAAGCTTGAAAGATTGCGAGAATTACCAAAATGTGATAGAGAAACATAAAATGAGCAAATGCTACTGGAAAAATGGCACCAACAGACTTGCTCAATGCAGGGTTGCAAAAAATTTCAATTTGTAAAAAATGCAATGATCTGTGAAATGCAATAAAGCAAAGCACAATAAAACGAGGTATGCCTGTAAAGTAAGGTCTAACACAGCTCTCAAATACCTGCTGAATTGAAAAACACAGATGTGGGACTTATGTGGACTGCTGAAAAATGAGCCCTTACAGAGACCATCAAGGAGAATTACAGAATACTGCAGAAGAAAAATTATCTAGTTTAGTAGTTTTCAAATTATTTTTAAAGGAAGAAATCCCATTCCTCAAGTGAAAAAGTACCTGAACATAAAAGTAAGTGCTCTGGTTGAAGAATAAAAAGATAGCTAAGCAAAGGGCAACGCTATAATCCTCTCATTATATGTCTTCAAAGCATTACAAATCAGCCTCCTCAATGTCTTGTACCAGGAACACTTTGCTGCAGAGCCTTTGTACTTGCTGTTCCCTCTGCCCAGAATGCTTTTCCTCCAGAGAGTTAAATGGCTCGTCTCTTAACTTCAGACCTTTACTCAAGTCACCTCCGTGAGAGCTTCCGTAGCCAACATTACCTAAAATTTCAACACTGTCCTGTCCTCCCTTTCTTTCTCCTTAACATTTGTCACCATCAACATATTATGTTTTATTACCTAGTTTATTAGGTTATTTATCATTGAGATTGTCATGTTACCCAATTAAAAAGAAATGTCCTCCCAACTACCCCATTTTTCTCTTGAAGATAACATACATTCCAAACTTCAGTGTTAAGTAAACAAATCAACACACTTGCCAGTGTAGCTCAACTGTATAAAATAGCAATGCTTTTATTTTGGGAAAAGAGAGAGAAAAAGAGATCACTGTTAACATCATTTCATAGAAAGATGATTTCAGAATGATAGTCCTTGAACTTGAATAAATTTTAGTTTCATTGAAAAAAACAGGGAGAAAAGAGAAAACACAGCATAGTCATAAGGAACCTGAGTTCTAGCCTCATCTAGGTACCTTTCCAGAGACCCAGGCTTAATGTAGATTAAGGCTTAACAAGAATTACTTGTAGAGGGCCCATTTTGCAGTTCTGAAAAGAGTGGCTTTCATATTACTGTCAAAAACTGTGACGGGTCTGAAATTTTACCCTACTCGTAAACTAACAAATTATCCTACCACGGCTTTATAGATGCTGAAGACAGACACAAGACTTACAGGTTAGAGAAAAGAACTTTATTACTCGTGGCAATAGCAGTACTAGTATCAGGTTTTGCGCCAGTTCCCTGAGTCCCATTTCCCATAGGGTAACACAAAGATGGCCAGGTGACAACTGTACATGCAGTGGATCATGTTCCATGAAAGAAACCCTGAGCTTAGGAACCCAAACCTTTTATAATGGGCATAAACATGCTTATCTTTTGCTCTGTAGGGTGATACTACCTTTACCATGCTGGACACTAAGTAAACACACTCTGAA